CACACACACACACACACACACACACACATGTGTGTTCCTATGATGAATTCACTGATGCTCATTGATTTCTCGTGTCCTTCACCTGATCTTCCCTTTGAGCGACAGTCACTCACCAACAACACAGAAGAAACGCATCGGCTGAGACCGAATCAGCACTCCAGAGACACAGGAAAATCACACAGACCTCAGTCCGGATCGAGCTGGAATTCTGATCATGTTAGCATGAAATCAAAATCAGCTCTTTTCATGTTCCTGCTCTTATTGTCAATGATTCATCAGTGCACTTTATTTTTTAAATTAATTTTCCTTTAATACAAGTGATCAGTGTAATAATAACAGCATGTCAGCAACAAAATAAAACCAACAAACAAAAGAAAGAAAAATTCCAGATCACTCAACTAATAAAATAATAATAGTAGCAACAACAATAACATGTATTATATATATATATATATTATATACAATAAATAATAATAATTGCTATTAACTATGAATAAATAATAACAAAACAAATACATTTGATCTCACTTAATTAATAAAAAAACAAACATAATACTACTTTTAATACTATAATAATAATAATAATAATAATGCATTCCAGCTCAATTAATTAAATATTATGTATTTATACATATAATAAATATAAATATAAATAACTATTATATATAACAAAAATAATAAAATCATTTTTTATATTTTATATTAATTTATTTTATTGCCATTTATTGGCATTAATTTTTTTTCACGGCGTGACCCGATTTTCTGAACACCAATAAACTCCCACATGCGCACACAGTTAACGAGGCGTGGGAAATAATCGCTTCGCTTAAGACTCTTTCTCTGGCTTTCCTCAGGGAATAGCAATGAAGTGCTGCTGTACGGCTGGTTATGAGTGACTGTCCGGCGTCAGACGGAGAATGATGCTCCTAATCCCGTTATATACGTAAGCGGCCGTGGTAAGTCACTTTGAACACTGCTTCTGACTAATTTATGAGCTGCGCTGCTCTCGCGAGAGCCGTAACACTCACGAGGAGCGCTCAGAGAGATCCTGGGCTCCCATCATTCACACAAACACACTGACTCTCAGGAAACACAGAGACTATACATGTATGTGTCTGATTGAATGTAATATAATTAAACTGCTCCATAGCAAGAGTTTGATTTTCTACATTCAGAGCTCAGAGTTGTTCTCTAGTCCGTCCAGAACATTTACTGAAACTGACCTGCAAAACTCGTGGTTATGAGATCATAAACTCAAGCTTATTAACATATTAACATACCATTGAATATCCGGCAGCTTCACGGTGCTGATGAACGACAGTATGAGATACACGGAGATGTGTGTGAATCTCACAAAAACTAAAAATAAATACTGTAGGAATTCAAATTTAGTAAATTTAGTCTCATTTTTATATATGATAATATAAGCAGTACATATATTTTCATTTATTATTATTATTACTATGTTGTTGTTGTCGTTACGTTTACATATATTTCTTTAATTTATTATTTCAGTACATTAAAGGTAAAACATTTAATATAAGTGACACATTAATTCATTTTAAAGCAGATAACGTCAGGATTTTTAAGTATATTAAGAACAAAATGGTTCCAAGGCATTAACTAACGTTAACTATCAATGAGAAATAAACTTTGTTGATCTTATTAATGTTAATTAATGAAAGCACAAATGTACATTGTTAGTTCATGATAGCTCAGGTCCACAGAAATCCGTTCACTTCTGCATTTATTTGTGCCTGAAATGACACATACACAAGAAATTATGTCAAAATGCATGTCTCTGCAAGTATCCTTGTAAACACAGTTGCTTATGGTTTAGGTGAAGGTAAACAACTGAGAAAGAAAATGGATGTGTAACAGTGGTTCACAGCAGCTTAATGTTCCTGCTTTCTGTGCCATGAATGTTAATTTGTCATAAATGTAACATTAGTCACATTTAAATGCAGACTCAAAACTCATCTGTTTAGCTGTGCATTTATTAAATGAGCACTGTGCGATGTCCGAACTGATTGCACTATATTTTAACTGTTTTAAATTCATTTTAAACCTCTTAAATGCATTTTTAATCACTTTCAAAGTTTTTTAATTCCTTGTTTATTGTTGTGATTATATCTCTTTTCTTTTATGTAAAGCTCTTTGAATTACCATTGTGTATGAAATGTGCTATATAAATAAACTTGCCTTGCCTTGCCTTAATCAAACAACAAAACAGAAAAATCACATTAACACAGATTTATTAGATTTAATTTATAAAGTGAAGACTATGCAGGGTTGATTATTCAATTTCTATACATGAATACTGTTAGACTTACCTGAAAAATATAAAGCACTGTTTATTTCATTTGTATCTTTGTTCTATTATATTTATCTATGCTTGTAATTTGATTTACTCACCTACAAAATCACCCCAATGATTGATTATTTTTGTCCAAATAGAGCTATTCAAGTCATCTGGTGATTTTTTTTCATATCGCAGAAAAACTAGATATCGCAATGTGAGTTTTTTCCAATATCGTGCAGCCCTAAAATTAATATTTTAAATAAATAACTAAATGTAATATTTTTACATAAATATATAATTGTTATGAATTACATTTTCTTACATTACAATAATGAGAATTCGGAGGGAAATGTGCTTTATTGTCATAAAAATGCATTTTCTTATATTTTATATATAGAATATATTTGTTCGGTCTTTCTTTTAACACTGGAGTAAAATATGATCCGGACATGTTTTGACAGGTCACCCATGAGAGATGAGAGGAAGAGAGGATTGATGAAATCAGAGTTATTAGAGTTTATGAAGACCGACGTTTCATTTTCACTGATCAATCACTGACAGAAAGAGCAGGACGGTGTGTTACCAGAGTAAAGCAGGGTGTTTGGCTTCATGTTCAATCTCTGCTGTGTCTGCGTGTGTGTGTATAGTATCTAATGAATACTTACTAGTACTATTTAAAAAGATACTAGTCACTATTACTATACTAGTCAGAACTGAATAGTTGATATCTGAATGACAGATTCCCACAGAAGTAAAAAAAAAAATAATTTAAATGTGTTACTAGTACAGGGCTCGCAAAATTTCTAAATCCCTGGTAGCCCTTCGGGCAGACATTCTTCAGATTTTAGTAGCCCAAAAATTTATTTAAGTAGCCCGAATAAAAGATATTGTATTTTTTCTTCAGATAACAAGTCAGGGGTGCAACGGATCACAAATCGCACGGTTCAGATTATATTACATTATCATATCACATTTTGAGCCACAGATCGGATCATTTTTCAGATGAACAAAAAAAATATGGTTCTTTATTATTTAAGTAACACTTATTATTTAAAGAACAATTTACTACTTCGATACCACAGCAAAAACTAGTAGCATATAGGGATGTAACGATTCACTCAACTCACGATACTGATTTCACAATACAATTTTCTCACAATTTCTTTAACAAAATTAGATTTAAGACAGATTTTAAAAAAGGTGTCCTTTTGTTATTTCTCAGACCAAAAGGCTGCACATTACTTTGTGAAAATGTCAAACAATATACTAACTTGAAAATTTAAACAAATCCCAAATCAAATAAATAAATAATAATAATAAAAAAAAAGAAATGTCTCCATGTGTATTTTAACCACGATCCAAACAAAGATGCTGCATACATGTTATTTAGATTTAAAAAATGTTAAATTTGAAACAAAAACAAAATGGTCTGACTTTAGCTTTGTGATACTACATAAAAAATCTGAACGAAACAAAAACTGAAGACGGGCTGAATGAGTGTAAATGATGAAACTATGATCCGTTTCACCCCTACAAGCGAGTGAACCATGTGAATCAAGGAAGGGATTTTATATCACTATTCAAGATAGCCCGTCGGGCAGGGCTAGCGATTTTGCGAGCCCTGGAGTTCCTGATACTAACATGTATTATTTTTAACAAAATTAGATTTAAGACAGATTTTAAAAAAGGTGTCCTTTTGTTATTTCTCAGACCAAAAGGCTGCACATTACTTTGTGAAAATGTCAAACAATATACTAACTTGAAAATTTAAAACAAATCCCAAATCAAATAAATCAATAATACAAAAAAAAAAGAAATGTGTCCATGTTTTGCCTGTGTATTTTAACCATGATCCAAACAAAGATGCTGCACACATGTTATTTAGATTTTAAAATTTTGAAATTTGAAACAAAAACAAAATGGTCTGACTTTAGCTTTGTGATACTACATAAAAAAACAGAAGGAAACAAAAACAGCAGAGGAATGTCACTACGCAAACGTCACTCTCTGACAGCAGGTAGCTATTAAAAAGCAGCTATTTATAGAATACTGAATGCACGGATCCAATATAATGATGCATGTGCGATTTCTTTCTCCACTGTTTACGTTCAGTTAAGACATGAAAATACTCGCCGGGATAGTTATTTGAGATAATTTTGCGTGTATGTGTCCGTTCAAGCGAAAGAGGAATCAATTCTGTGTTTGTGCTCTGCCTGAAACGCCACTCTGTATGTGCGCGCTTTGAGCGTGTGCGCGCGAGCACCGAATTGAATTCTTCATGCACATGAATGGTTTAAAATGCTTGAATGTTTAAATTGGTAAGACTTAGAAACACGTGTAAATGATAAACTATGATCCGTTTCACCCATACAAGCGAGTGAACAACGAGAATTAAGGAAGGGATTTTATAAATAAATAAGTACTAGTATCTAAAAATAAGTACTAGTATCTCAGAAATAAGTACTAGAATCTCAGAAATAAGTACTAGTATCTAATAAGTACTAGAATCTCAGAAATAAGTACTAGTATCTCAGAAATAAGTACTAGTGTCTAATAAGTACAACTATCTCAGAAATAAGTACTAGTATCTAATAAGTACTAGAATCTCAGAAATAAGTACTAGTGTCTAATAAGTACTAGTATCTCAGAAATAAGTACTAGTATCTAATAAGTACTAGAATCTTAGAAATAAGTACTAGTGTATAATGAATAAGTACTAGTTTATAAAAATAAGTACTTGTATCTAAAAATAAGTACTAGTATCTCAGAAATAAGTACTAGTATCTAATAAGTACTAGAATCTCAGAAATAAGTACTAGTGTCTAATAAGTACTAGTATCTCAGAAATAAGTACTAGTATCTAATAAGTACTAGTATCTCAGAAATAAGTACTAGTATCTAATAAGTACTAGTATCTCAGAAATAAGTACTAGTATCTAATAAGTACTAGTATCTCAGAAATAAGTACTAGTATCTAATAAGTACTAGTATCTCAGAAATAAGTACTAGTATCTAATAAGTACTAGTATCTCAGAAATAAGTACTAGTATCTAATAAGTACTAGTATCTCAGAAATAAGTACTAGTATCTAATAAGTACTAGTATCTCAGAAATAAGTACTAGTATCTAATAAGTACTAG